TAATATATATATATATATAAAATTGTATCAAAATTCCTACTTATTTGTTAAAGGTAACGGTTCTGGTGTATGTGTCCTTGTTATTTCTTCCTCGTTATCTGAGGAATCTGAAGCTTCGGATGTAGATTGTTCCATGCCACATTGTAGAAATAACATTGGATCCACTTTTACCTCCATTTCCTCCATGTTCGGAGTGCAACGTTTGACCTCTTGGAAATTTGATTCCTGTGATCCCAGTGGCTCATCCTCAGTTAAAATTTCTATCGCACCCTACAGATAACATTGATAATACAATAAATATTATAGATAAAAATCTCTCTCTCTCTGATATATAAAAGACTAATTATAATACATACTAAAAGACAATTTATAATACATACCTTTGTCAATATCGAATGCAATAACCCTCGATCTTCCACCTTTTTTACAGTATCTTGTATGTCTTTAATATTCTGTATCTCATCTTCTTGTACAGGATTCGTATTGTCAATGTTACCATAAAGCTGTGATCTCAACTTCTCTTGGGTACGGTATGCCATCATTGCGAAACGATGGACACCCTCCAGTCTTTTGATACACGTAGAACAGACCATTTTTGAAAATTTGTCTTCCGATGACACCTGCGAAGCATTTAAAAATAAGTATAAATCTATAAAAATATACATTATGCAATTAACATAAATTATGACGCCAATCTGGAAATGACAATGTGTTGAATTATTAATTTACATTGGATTAGTTCTTTTTATTAAAAAAAAAAATAAAAAAATTAATCCAATGTGAATTAATTTGAATTTGTGGAATAAGTACAGAAATTCACACGAAGAATATAATAATATACAGATGTAAATATACATAAAAAGAAGGAAAAATATAGATATTCAAATTCTACTTCTTCTAGATTAAAGTAAAACATACTATACGTTTTTTTCTCAAAACAGAAAACAATAAATTATCATAAAATTATCGCGTTATTAAAATTTATATTTGTGCATTATATTCTATATATGTTGATCTACATGTATATATATATGACTGTCATTTTCAGATACTGACGTCACATAATTTATCAAGTCAATTGTATAATTAAACATCATTTTATTATCATCGTTACGTCGTCATTCGTTTCTCATTTCTCCCATTATTGTCATCTCTCATTTGCACAGCAGCGCGTCGCGAATTCTCTCTCCAATTTCATTCTCGATCGACAATTAACCTAGCTTTCACGAGAGCGCCGATAATGCCGTCGAGGTGGGAAGGAAAGGACATTTCGTCTATTTAAAAGGAAAGTCGCCCCGTTTTTCCTCTTTTTCCTCGCGTAATCGCGTCTCGATCGACGCCAATCTATTCCGTGCCACGTCATTTTCCTCGTCGCTCCACCGCGGACGCGGCCCTCATTTCCGATTGTATTTATAGATGTGGCCGTTTATATATAGCGTACACATACACGCGGGCCACGGGTATACTTATTGCAATCAATAAAATGCTAATTTTTAACACTTTTGTAGCTCCGCACACAAAATGGTCGCGCTCATGACCGACGTATTTCACAAAATACGTAAATATGATCAGCTCTCTATAAATCGTAACGCGACCGGTTCCTCCGACGAGTCCGTTGATATTTCGCGGCTCGTTAGGAATCGACGCGATTAATTTTTTCACCCGGAGACTTTTGGCGAGGCGTAAGCATTCGTATCGCGAAAATGTCGCTGTTATATTTAGACGACCGAGTCAATTCATTCGCGTCGAGCCCGATCATTATATGACGAAAGAAAAAAAGAGACGATCGGCGACTCCAAATCACCGTGATGTATTTTTCATCGCCGATTTTTCGCGAACGCCGACGGTGATCTCGGAAAATCGTCGCGGTCGCAACACGAATCTTCGCGGAGAAGATCGGCGTGCGATTTCGACCGATCTCGAAAAATCGGCTGAGATCGGTCGAGCGACGTCGACGTGAATTTCGAAATTCGGCCGCGACCGGCACGTGATCGCGACACCTGCCGTGTAGAGGAGAGGGGGAGGAACGAATTTTGAAAGGAAGAAAAAATGAGGGAGAGAAAGGGAGAGAGGAAATGAGAGGGGAAAAAAAGAGGGAGAGGGAAAAAAAAAGGATACCCGCCGCGCGAAGATACGCGCGAAAGCGCGCTCGTGTCTCACTCACCAAGATATGCAGGTATTTCCGTATTTTGGTCTGCAGATAATGACGCCGGCCGTCCTCGGCGAAAATGTGCATCTCGCCGTCGTCGGTGGCGATATCGGTCGCACAGATCCGGCACTGCGCCGCGGGCCGGTCCGCTTGCCGATCGCGCTGCTGCTCGAGATCGCGTGCCGCCGTGCCCATTTTTCAAAAAGGAACCAGGAGAGCGCGAAAACGGGGAGAAAAAAAGGGAAAAACGGAAAGATCGGCGAAGGAGAGAGAGAGAGAGAATAGATACAAAGAGGTGAAATAATGAAAAAAAAAAGGAAGAACGGCGTGCCGGGAGGAGGAGGGGGGTGACAATTTTTCTTCTCGTTCCACCGCTGGAAGACTTTTTCGTTTCAGCCGATCCTCTCGGCGGGTAGTAACGGCGGCA